GCTTCCTAGGGCTAATTGTGTTTCTGCCTTATGCTACCACTGCCCATTGCTTTCCAATAGAGAAAAATCTTTTACAGGACTGTGAGGAAGAAAGTATTTTTTCCCGATTCCTGTATTCTCAGCTTCTTAGGAGGCTGAAGCAGGAGGATCACAACATCAAAACATAAAAATTTGAGAAACAGCAGCTGGCATAATGGTTATGTTACTGGACTCCCACATGGCCGACTGTGGTTCTAGTCCCAGACCCAGAGGTCTGAAACTCACACCAGGTGAGTGTGCATGGGTGCCCAAAATCCCAAGAGGAGAATGAAGAAGAGATTGCAGCGTGACCATCCTGACTAGGGGGTGATTTCTCATTTTGTCTCTCTGTCTCTCCAGCAAGTGCACCGACCATATAGCAAAAATTTCTTTAAAAAAAATGTGGCAAGGAGGGCAAGACTTCCCTCATGTTTTTATCTTGACCAGGTAGTAGAGAACACATGGATTTAGATTAGCCATGTCAGTGGGTTAGAAAAGGAAGCTGGCCACTGCCTGTGTATACTTTGTTATTTAGTCCTTGCCCTTCCATGAGTAAGAGAATAAACATTGGCTAAAACATGGCAAGCATATTGAGAATCTTCAAGACCAAGGAAATGGTGACTGGGAGCTAGGATCCTCTAAAGATGATCTCAAAATATTCTCTTGTTGTTCATATAGCTCCTCTTGTGGCTAAATTATTTACTAGAGGAAATGTATACTTAAGGCTTTATTTAGACTTTATTATCCTCTCTCAATCTACAGATTTTTAGAAAAATAAGGGCAGTTTGTTGTTCACAAATATATTAATGCAGTACCTCCAAGCAAAAGTTTCAAGTACCAACTATCAATGTTTTAAACTATTATAACAACCATATAATAAATTTTAAATGATAGCTAGTCTCATGTGAAACTCAGCTAATGCAGACATCAGGTTAAATATATAAAATCAAAGACAGTTAAGGGATGAAAATATGTGAAAGCAATTGTTAACACTTTACAATACTATTAACCTTAACAAAACAGGATTTTCTCCATGCCCATGTTGTTCCCCAAAAATATAATGGGGATTACTGGAAATCTAGTTAATCAACAAAGGCCACAGTGTCACAAACTGAGAAATAATTTTTTAAGTGTAGCAAAGTTGTCATAAAAGAGTCTCTTTAAGTTAGCATAAAACATGATAAATAGTATTATTACAATAGTAGTATTACTACATTATTACATTCAGGCCATATAGGTAAGTTATAAATCCTCCAAAATTATACATGTACGTTTTTGTCTTTCATTGATTTATAACTCCGCAATGTTCAATTAATAAAATATTGGTGGGGCTGGCAGGTGGCATGGTGTATGTGGTGCTGGATTCCCACATGGCTGACCAAAGTTCAAGTCCCAGACCCAGTGACCCAAAAATCACAACAAATAAATAGATACATAAATAAATATTAATAAAGAAGAATAACAACATATTGGCATTTATATCTTATTGCATTATTCCATTATGACTATGTTTCTTGGGATCTCTTATTAAACTCTGGGAAAATACAAATTAGAGAAAAATACAGTAGAAGAGAACTATTTACAAAAGCTCTACCCAGTCAAGTAGAGAACCATCCAGTGTGTCACACTTGGAGCTCTAGCTATCAGAGAAAGCCATGGCAAGTTGCTACAGCTACTGGCAGATGGTAAGACCCAAGGAGATATGGGCAGGATACCAATGATATCTACTACACTGGTATCTAAGATCTCAATCTAGTTACACTGAATCCTGCTATCAAAAGCCAGGGCTGACGAAATAGGGAAAATAATTAAGGCTCTGGAGACAGACCAGTTTCAAATTCTCAGTTATTAACCTCTCTAAGCTCAAAATACCACAAAAGATTACTCTGGGGATTGAGTAATATAATTCATGTAAAAGTATCCAGTATTGTGTACATAGTGCATATTCCATATGTATTATTAATATTCTTCAGGTTGCCTAGCAGAGACCCCAAAGTTCCAGTCTTGGTGCTGGCATGGCATTTAAACTGGCATCAGTGAACAGAACTGATGAAATCTCTGGATCTCAGTTCAAGTAGTCTTGAAAACATGGGTAGATGGAATCCTGAATGATCATCATTTGGGGAGAGGGTTGTCTCAAAGTCCATGGTAGGAGGTATAGAGCCCAGAAGAGGAGGTAAACTTCCCAAAATGTAAGTTCTAGGGAAGGCACACCTAGTGGCCCAACTTATAAGGGGATACTCCATACTACAGATAGACTTCAAAAAATTTGTGAGAAAATGGAATTAAAGCACAAATTTATTTTGGAACAAAAAGTTTGAAATCCATGGATAGTTTAAAAAAAATACACACTGTCCATGAGTTTTTTGAAAATTCTTTATAGTTTTCTACTCAGCCAGTTAAATAGTCTTCAGGTTTTTTTTTTTTTTTAACGTTTATGAGAATAAGTAGGGGAGGAAAAAAACTAGTACTTATCCTTCTCCATAACAAGTTCCAACACAAAAACATAACTGCCCTTTCAATGAGCAAGTATTTTTGGAATTCCTTAGTTGAAATGAAATTACATGGTTCACATACCCAAAGCATTTTTCCCCACTCTTTTTTCTTCCCAGTCTGTGAAGACCAGACTTTTGGAAAAACTCAAGCTTTCATTAAAGTTTAGCCATGCAGGCTATAAAAGCTGGGTGGGTTTGCTTAGATTTTGGTGCTAAACCTCTGTACTTAACTGACAGCAAGAACAGTTTTGGGAAGAGGATGCAGAGGGCATGGAAAGCCCCATGAGGCCACATGAAACTGAAACAAAAGAAAACTTGGAGGAGAAAATATATGTTTTCCAAAAAGTAGAAAACATGAACTTTTGAAGTCTTCAGAGACAGTCCTTGCCCTTCCATGATTAAGAGAATAAACATTGGCTAAAACATGGCAAGCATATTGAGAATCTTCAAGACCAAGGAAATGGTGACTGGGAGCTAGGATGCTTTTCAACATGTGGTATTTTTCTAATAAGTTGATCGTTGTTAACTTTTAGCCACTAGTATTCATAGACCTCTGATTAAAAAAAAATCTTTAAATAGCAATAAATCCTGGGGTCAGCAGATGACATAACAGTTATGTCACTGGACTTCCACATGGCCGATACGGTTCTAGTCCTGGACCTAGTGGCTTGAAAATCATGCCAGGCACATGTGCGTGCATGCATGCCTAAGATCTCAGGAGGAAAATGAAAGAGAAGGGACGGTGATCCGGCCATCCTCCTTAGGGGATGATATCTCACTTTCCCTCTTACTATTTCTGTCACTGTCTCTCTCTCCAGTGAGCACACGTGCCTTAAGGCAAACATCTTTTTAAACGAAATAATAATAGAATCCTTTACCAAAATTAGCGCCAGAAGAATCTCCACAAGGCAAGTGGGGGGATATCTTATATCCCTCTAAATGTGTTCTCCCTTGGCCTGGGTTGGAGGTTACTGTTCCCCTCTCTAATGCTGGCCTAAGTCCGGATGGTAGACTGGTTTGATTCCCAGAGTACTCCCTAATAAACCTCCCTCACCCTAATATTTGTCTTGAATCTGCTTCTCTGAGAACTCGGTTCATGGCAGCTACCCACATCTCAGATACACATCCCTAGATACTTTAACTTCTCAAATCCAAACCCAAAAGAGCAAGACAAGAAAAAGTCCAAGGAACCTGTTACTTGTGTAGAACTACCTTTGCCCAGTTGCTTGGTAGTATTAATATTAATGATCATTCCTTTGCAGGGGGAGACTTGCCTCTTTCTTTTGAGATTTTTGCTTAATAGGCATATCAATATAACCTGATACATATAATATTTATGAAAGTATAGGTTACAGGGACAGTTTGTTGAAACTATCTCAGAAAAAATCAAACTCAGTGAAAAAAGGGTAGAATAACAGTATTCTTAGACAAAAGAAATATAGATCATTTCACTTTGTGAAACACACATTTTGAAAAAGTTGACTGTAAGTCAGATTTTTTTGCGTTAAATTGTGTGTGTGTGTGTGTGTGTGTACACATACACATAAATATTGTAAAACAGAGTCTCGCGGTTACAGTCCTTCTGCCTCAGCCTCCCAGTTGGTACTAGGCGTGTGCTACCTCACACAGCTCTTTCTCAGACAGGATCTTGCAGTGTTGCCCAAGACAGGTCTAAGGTTGGAATCCTCCATCCTCCGCCTTGCTGTGATTACAGGAGCAAGTCACCACACTTGGCCTTTAGGTTAAACCAGGAATTGAACCTAGGCCTACCATGTGATTCCAGCATGTGAAGCATAGCATCTTAAGAGTGCATGCCACCATGCCTGGACCTGTATTAAGTTATGTTTTCATGTCAGTAGTGAAACTCACCACTTAAAGATTTTTTTTTTTCATGACAAACTGTTTTCCAGAGGAAAAAAAATTGCAAATTTTGTAACTATCTTCCAATTTTTTAATTTCATGAGAGAGAAGAAAGGAAGAGAGATACCCTTGACAACACTGTAATCCCACTTATACTTCTAGCCCATGGGCATACCTGGCATGCTCACGCTGATCCAAGATCCAAACCCAGGTTTTCCCAGATGGCTCTAGCACTACGCAGCAGCATCCTACCACCTGCACCATGACTGGGCCCCAATTTGGTACTTAATGAAACTAGATTTTCACATACTGATATGACATAAAATGAAATATTTAGCATTGAAAAATCTAAAAGACACTAAACAGCTAATACAAAATTGTATTCAACTCTAATAAATTCTTTTTTACCAAATTATTTTTATTTATTTTGCTGTTTTGCTTTTTTGAGGAGGGCTGGGAAAATGGATATTTATTGTTATTGGATCTTTTCAGTTATTTTTTCCAAGTTTTTATTAACAGTGTACTTTTATTGGTGCTCAAATATATGCTCTGCTCCCCCCAGTATTTTTAGATGGAAGAAGAAAATTTTTTAATTTTTAAAAAGCTCACTTTAAGTTGCATAGGGCTGTGCTTGCTTTGGTAGCACAAATACTAAAACTGGAATGATACAGAGACGATTAGCATGGTTCCTGTGCAAGGATGACACGCAAATTTGTGAAGTGTTTGTAAAGATATTGTATGTCTCCACTTAATATATACTGATTGTCCACACTCTATGGTAGAGATTGAAAGATTGGAGGACATAAAAGCAGTGAAAATACTTGTGGATGCTGGAGACAGTGTAGGAGAGTGGGAGAAGGGAAGAGTATAGTGAAGGAGATCAGGGAGAAAAAATAGAGTGGCAAGACATTTGTGGGACACGGAAATGGTTTTATTACCTGTTGATGATAACATGTATTGTATCTTCAACTGGACTAGTCTGAGATGTATTTCAGATTGGGTAAATTCTCTTTACAAAGGATGTATAGCAACTGAATGCTTAAAACATAATAAGAAGAAAAATAAATAAGTAAATAATAACAAACAAAATTAAAGAAATAAAGCTTAAAAATTCTTAAATAAATAAATCATGTGGGGCTATCATGTTCTTTAGATTAGCTGAGCTCATTTCCAGTACTGAAACTCTGTTCTATTATTTATTTTTTATTTTTTAAGAATTATTTTAGTAAACTTTATTTACTTATTAATTTAATTTTTATTTATATTTGACCAGAGAGGGACAGAGTGAAAGGGGGGTAGGGGGGAGTGAGAAACCAAGCTACCAGGTCCAGGACTTGGACTGCGGTCGGCCATGTGGGAATCCAGCACTCTTAACCACCATGCCACCTGGAAGCCCCAATTCTGTTCTATTATTATTGTTCAAAGTAAATGCACCGATGAAGACTTATTCTATAAGAATTTTAATCCTAATGCTGTTCTGATAATGAATTTAACTTTCATACTGGATGAGTGACTGTGAACAAAGAAATTAAGGCTAGGAGTGTACTTATTCTCTGATGTAGTGTTCTCTTTTCCCCCACGATTAGTAGTTATAGAATAACCATGGATTATGACTACCAAATTATTTTGTTTGCACTGAGAACTTGGCCTTTCCTCAAAGCTAGTAATTCACATTTAAATAAAATGAACATTTGGATGCTGTGCTCAAATTTAGGTAGGATTATATTATAATGATTTTTGGAGAAACCAGATCTATTTGCAGTACAATGAGGAATTTCCTTTGGAGAATGGTAAGTAATACTGTTATTGCAAGTTGCCTGAGTCCTCTTATGTGATACCATTAGAGGCAACAGGTACAAATGCATGTGCTCAAGAATATCCTTGGAGAGGAGGCATACCCCGTACCCAGATCCAAAATACTGACATGTACTCTTTTTTTTTTGGAGAGATTTTCACTGTAGGGCGCGTGCGCTCGCCAGACAGACAGAGAGAGACATAGAGACAGAAAGCGAGAAATCACCCCCCAGGGGGGATGGTCACGCCACAATTCCTTCTCCTCCATTCTCCTCTCGGGATCTTGGGCACACACACACACGCGCCCGGCGTGAGTTTTAAGCCACCGGGTCCAGGACACGAACCGCGGTTGACTATGTGGGAGTCCAGCGACATAGCCATTACGCTAACTGCTGGTTCCCCTGACATGTACTCTTGAGAAGAGTTTCAGGTGTGTAAGGGTATTTTTTAAAAAAATATATTCATTTGTTTAATTCCATTTGTTACTATTTGACCGGACAGAGACAGAGAGAGAAAGGGAAAGTGAGAAAGCAAGCTGCCAGGTCCAGGACTTGAACTGCGGTCAGCCATGTGGGAATCCAGTGCCTTTAACCACCAGACCATCTGCCAGCCCCAGGAGAGGTTTTTGCTATATAGGGCACATGCGCTTGCCAGACAGAGAGAGACATAGAGATAGAAAGCGAGAAATCACCCCCCAGGGGGGGATGGTCATGCTGCAATCCCTTCTCCTCCATTCTCCTCTCGGGATCTTGGGCACCCACGCACACGCACCTGGCATGAGTTTTAAGCCACCGGGTCCGGGACTCGAACTGCGGTCGACTGCGTGGGAGTTGAGTAACATAGCCATTACGCTAACTGCTGGTTCCCACCCCAGGATATTTTTTAAAAAGAGACTTCTAGGTTACAAGTCTCTTCGTTTTTTTTGGGCCTCTCAGACTTTTCCTGTGAGAACAGACCACATGGACTGCGTGAGACGTTTTATGCCAGATATGAGAGATGAAAGTTAAAGAGTGGCTGTACTTTCTTCCGGACATCTGTGCCGGGTTCTAACTCTTCCAACTCCTGGATCTTCTGCTTCAGCTTCTCCAACTCTTGAGTCAAGAGTGTGTTTAATTGCATGATAAGCAGCACTACAAGTGTGGAGGTGATGAGTTACAAGACGTCACGCAGATTCCAATCCATCCTATGGGTTCCAACGTGTCTTTGCTTTTTCTACTCTGCATCCTGATTGCCTGTTATGTAAACTTTAGCTCCATAATTAGACACAGGAACAACTTCTCATGGATTCAGCTCCCACAACTGCATGTAGTCAAATATTTATAATAAAAATATCTTATTAAGTCTATTTATCTTAGTGGTTCTGCTTTTCTGAACAAACCATGACTGACATATTTGGGTTATTTTTAACTATTAAAAAAAGTGCTCTTGTGAATGATCATATTTGTGGTTCCTGGTGTACTTGCGCAAGTACTCTTCTACAATTATATACATTACTGTACAGAAGCATATGCATTGCAAGATAACGTCAAATTGTATTGAGGATGATTGTGCCAATTTATACTCACACCAGCAGTGTTTAACAGTCCCCCTTGACTCATGTCTTTGCAAATACATAATATAGTGGTATTTTTTAATTTTAGCCCATCTAAAGAGAATAATATTGTTTCTTATTGTGATTTGAATTCACATTCTGTTATTAATGAGATGAAAATCTTCATATTTTAATTCTTCACTTATATTTCCTCTTCTGCAAAATAACTATGTCTTTTACCCATTTTTTCATGGCATGCTTGTTGGTTAATTACTGATACACAAAAAGAGTTTTTTATACTTTCTGGAAACAAATCCTTTAGAGTCATATATAGTGGTATGCTGGAGCTGGCTTGTACCGTCTCACCAGAGAGATTTTGTATGTCTCTTCCTAATCCCATGTTTAGCAACATCGTGTTGGTGGCTTAAAATAAGCCTTTTTAGTATAGAAATCATCAAACTCAACAAATCAAGGCTTCCTCCCACCAACTCCCCACGAAAAGCTAATTTTAAAATATTTACCTGTATACAGCTAGTTATCAATATATATGTTGCAAGTATCTATTAGTGGTTTGTGCTTTGTCTACACATTTTGTGGGGTCTTTTGAAGAACATAAATTCTTTTTTTTTTTTTTTTTGGAGAGATTTTCACTGTAGGGCGCGTGCGCTCGCCAGACAGACAGAGAGAGACATAGAGACAGAAAGCGAGAAATCACCCCCCAGGGGGGATGGTCACGCCGCAATCCCTTCTCCTCCATTCTCCTCTCGGGATCTTGGGCACGCACACGCGCCCAGTGTGAGTTTTAAGCCACCGGGTCCGGGACACGAACTGCGGTCGACTACGTGGGAGTCCAGCGACATAGCCATTACGCTAACTGCTGGTTCCCAAGAACATAAATTCTTAACTTTCACACTATAGTCAAATTTGTTCATCTTTTCAGTTTTAGATAAACTTTTTATTGTTTTATTCTCTATCCTAGGGTCATAAAGATGTAACCCTATATTTTCTTCTAGATATTTAAAATATTAGCTTTCATGTCAAAGTCTTGAATACATTTAGAATGGACTTCTTATATATTGTGTGAGGCAGGAATCCAATTTCATGGTTCTCCATATTGTCCTAGTCCCACTTATTGACTAATCCTTCTTTCCCACAATATATTCAATATCACTTCTGTTATAGTAGGTTTTTTGGAAGTCATGACACGTTTTTTATTTTGTTTTTTTTTTTTTGTTTTTTTGAGAGGTTTTTGCTATAGGGCACGTGCACTCGCCAGACAGACAGACAGACAGACAGACAGAGACAGAGAGACAGAAAGCGAGAAATCACCCCCAAGGAGGGGATGGCCACACCGCAATCCCTTCTCCATTCTCCTCCTGGGATCTTGTGCACACACATACACGTGCCCTATGTGAGTTTTAAGCCACCAGGTCCGGGACGCGAACCACAGTCGACTACATGGGAGTCCAGCAACATAGCCATTACGCTAACTGCTGGTCCCGTATGACATGTTTTTCTGTCATGCAAAAACACATCATGACTTTCCAGACAACCCAATATATTATGACCATACTTGTATCGATCTATTTCCACAATCTCTACCAAGGCTGTAATCATCTCATAGGATAAATTGTGTTACAGTCTCTATTTTCTTAGGATTTTTTTTTTTTTTGAGAAATTTTTGCCATAGGGAATGTGTGCTTGCCAAAGAGAGACAGAGACAAAAAGCAAGAAATCACCTCGTAGGGGGAATGGCCACACTGCAATCCCTTTTTCTCTACTCTCCTCCTGGGATTTTGGGTACACATGCACACATACCTGACCTGAGTTTCAAGCTGCTGGGTTTGGAATTCAAACAGCAGTCAGCCACGTGGGAGCCCAACACCTTAACCACCATGCCACCTGCTGGCCCCTATTTTCTTAGGATTTTAAAGATTGAAATGTTCTCTTCCTTGAAAGCCTGGTATAAGTCATTTGTAAAAAAAAAAAAAAAAATTGAACTAAACTTTTTTTGGGGGAAGATATGTAAATAATGATTACATTTCTTTAGTGGTTATTTGATAATTCCAGTTCTCTTTCTCTGTAAATTCTGGTAAATTATATTTTTCTATAAATTTGTCCATTTTACCTAAGTTTTCGGATATTTGGCCTAAATTGATTCACGTTAGCTCAATCTTTGATTATGTCTCATTTAATCCAAATATTGTTTATTACACTTTCTCTTTTTTCTTGCTCAATCTTAGCAGATTTCTCTATAAAAGAAATGTTTTAATTTTGTTGATTCTCTTTGTATCTTTAGTCTTTTGTAAAATTCTGTTTCTAACTTTATTATCTACTTCCTCCTTTTTCTGTGTGTTTTTATTGTTGGATTCCCTAAATTCTTTTTCTTTCTTTCTTCTTTTTTTTTTT